TCATTCCCAACAGTTGGGGGTCCCTAAGGAAATGCAGTGTTTACATCATCAACCGTAGGGGCAACTATGTGGCTACAACCCACTATTCTCCAGGGTTGAAGATTACTTGCAGCTTTTGCACTCATTCCTTGTTACCTCATGGAGCCACGGACTCAAGCTGTAGGCTTTTAGGGCAGAGCACTAAACCCTAAATCTTTAACCCCTAAACCCTACAAAGCTTACAGGAGCCAAACGTTATTCGCAGCATCGTCTTGAAGCACTTGAAATCTCGAGGAGCCTTGAATCCTGACACCCTACAAAGCGACCATACATGGTGAATAGTATGTACCGTAGTTACTTTGGTACAAGGGGGTAGCTACATGGGTACCTAGAGCTCAAAGTAGAAAGGACATGCCCTAAACTCTAAACCCTAAACCCTTCTAAGCGGGTTTGAGCTCACGCCGAGCTTTGCATTTCGCACTCCCGGGTTCTCGGACCTGTGCAACACAGTACCCTGGACCCACTACACCGTACTGTAAATAGGGTTCAGCGTTTAGGGTTTAGGGTGTAGGGAAACCCTGAATCGAATTGAGTCCTACGCCTAGTGACGCTGGGGCTAACAACAGCGGCATTTTTGCCCTCGTTTAGGCTCCTCTCCATGTTTTACGAGCATTCATTGCATAGAATCTTAGAGTGCTGGTCTGGAGAGCCTTGCAACTGCAGACCTGTCGAATGCCGAAGCTCAGGTGGGGGAAGCAGATGCATCTCTATGAGGACCTTGGGGAGGGATCCTAGAGACCGCGACCCTCGTCGCGAAATGTGTGTCTCCCAATTTCGACCACTGCGATGCATGTAGTCAGTCGGCCTGGTTAAGGGGTGAGAGTGGCATTGCTTTAAGTTTCCTTGGGCTCGGGTTGCCCAAATAATAAGCTACGGCGTTACACATTATATAGTTAATTAAGTTACCATTGAAGCGGTGAGGGCGTTTGTTGGATTCCAGAACATACGCCGTCCCGTAAAGACACGTTAAACTTTGAACCCAAAACCGTAAAAAGTTATTCAAACGTAAGTCTGCTTCGATATCCATCCCTTCTCAGCTCTAACCGTTTGACGCTTCAGGGTTCTAGGTTTCCTACAGCGGTTTTCGGTTTAGGGTGTACGGTTCCTCTAACTCGACTTGGGTCCAGTAGCAAACGTGGTTTCTATGACGGTTCAGAATTCATGGTTCCCATAGCGGCTTTGGGGTTAGCGCCCAGGGTAGCATGGCAATCCGAATGGTACGTAGAAGCAGAAGCCTCCTCCGTACATGGGTGGTTCTCTAAATTGGGGCCCCTCTTTCTACGGCACCCTTATAAAGATGGAGCCTGAAAGGGATCCTATATAATTTAGAGAACTACCCGAACAGAAACCTATAGAAACCCAACAGAAACCCTTATAGATGCTCGTACAGAACCCTAAGGTTTGCTTCAGGTTTAGATCTTAACGCACTGGACGAAGAGGTCCCTCTCCGCTAACCTCACGAATCTCAAGTCGCCCCCTGGGGGCATGTCTAGTCTAGTGCTTAGCTCTTTCTCCTGGAGCTCCTCTGCCCAATAGCGGGGGAGCTCTGGGATGTGCCCTTCCGCTATGCCGTGCTTGATGGCTTGGCTCCTCCAGAAAGATCGAAGCTAAACCCTAGACCCTAAACCCTAAACCCTAAACCCTAAACCTAGTAGTTGAAGTTATTGTCGACCCCAGGGTTACTAAATTCAAAGAGTACCGCAGGCGCCCTAGACTAGACCCGTCAAGAGATGGGGCTTTTTGATCAGGCGTCTGCTTTGTGTTGACGGTTTCCGATTATGAGAGTTGCTGGTCTGAAGGTTGCGATGCAACCGACTAGTTCAGAGTTCATAGTCCTTTACGGCTTTGAGTATATGGATTTTGGTGGTCCAGTAGTCTACCTGTAGCCAACACTCTACGAAATCCAAGGTCCTCGGCTTGGACTGCTGAGTTCTCGGGTGTACCCCCTTGAAGCACGAGCTTTGCGGGTCCTAAGCGATCAGACCATCTTATCGGCCCCGAGCCCCACAGACACTAGGCTTTTTGTCTCCATAGGTACTTAAAGGATCATGGGACTTAGCAAGTAGGGCTACAATTAAGGTAACTATACTTATAACCCCAATTACGGGACTTATAACCTTACTTACTAAGTCCCAGGGCCTTCAGATTTCATCAGAAGTCCTTCGTTCTTTCAGGTCTCTGCAGGCACGTCGACCAAAAGGGTCGCCAACGCTCAATTGCCGAAGTGGAGTCGGAACAGCTTCACTTTGCAAGCGAGAGAAAAGTGGGTGGTTGTCAAAATTATGGTCCCTTTTGGGGTCCTTATTATAATACGGCACCTATTATTTAGGGTACCCCAAAAGGGACCATCATTTTGACAACTACCCAGTTTAGCATGCACATCTAAGCACCTGCTTCTCTAGCTCCTGCTTATCCCGGTCACCTGTAGAGGGTACTTGACGAGTAGAACTCGAAGCGTCGTTCATCAACCGCTGAGACCCCTAAGTGCCCCAAGGCCTGGCGAAGCCTTCTATCCTTGAAACCTTCAGGCAGGCTAGTCATGCCCGGGCTATTCGGAGCTTGAGTTCGGAAGAATCCGGCAAAACCTCAGCCGTAACCTCTAAGCCTAGTTTTTTCAAGTGAACTTCACCTTGAAGGCTGTCGTTGAATTTTGCTCAAAACCGGATATACTAATTTATCCCTGAGCCTATGAAGACAGTAGGCGCATCTCTCCCCAAACCTGAAGCCAGCGAGATATGAGACCCAACATCCTGAACGCTGCGACCCCCCAAGCCTTCAAAACTACCGTAATTTTGGGTTTGGGGTTTAGGGAATACCTTAAGCCTTATAAGCCCTAAACCGCTTTTGAACCCTTAACAAGCCCCCTTTCACGGAGCGGTAAGTCCTAAACCAGGCCTCTGTAAACCCGAATCCCTTAATTAACCCCTTAATACGACACCGAGAAAGTAATTCCTCATCCCTATCTAGGGTTCGGGTTTAGGGTCCTAAACCCTACACCCTTTATATCCCCCTAAATGCTAACCCCTAAACTCTAAACCTAAACACCCTAAAAACCTTAAAACCCCCCAAAATCTTGAAAACCCTAAACCCTAAGCCCTAAACCCTATTCACCAAGCCTTTTTACCTTAAGCCAGGCCTTAGCTGCAAAACCCTAAAACCCAAACGCCAACACCCCAGACACCATGCCCAAAGCTCAAATCTCTTAACCCGTTCTAAGCCGATAAATCCCGAAACCCTCAACCCGCTTTTATAGGGTTTAGGGTTTAGGGTTTTATGATGGACCCTACCTATGGTCTCCCTTGTAGTTCCTTTTTTTGGTTTAACCAATTATATATTAGGGATTTTATAAGGTATCCCCCAAAAGGAACTACAATGAAGACTATAGGTAACCCTAAACCAAGCCCGAAACCCAAAAGAGCAAACCCTATACACCCAAACCCCTCCAGATACCATGCCCAAAATCCTTAAAAACGAGCGCTAGCTCCACCAGACAGCTAAGCCCTAAACCCTTTCACTTTGCAGACCTCGTACCGTATGCCTCGCCTGGATTGTCCGAGTGTGAGAGCCGAAACCCTACATCCCAAGCCTGAATGGCTCCGCTCGGCTGCTTCGTTGAGCTTCAGCGCGCCCGGTGGGCCTTTGAAGAACCCCGAGGCTCAGCGGACGGATTTGCAGGTTTGGGGTTTAGGGCTCAGGGCTTTGGGGTTTGAGGGTGTTGGGCTTAAGGCTCCTAGGGCCTATAAGCGTTTTGAGGTTTTGGGGTTTGGGGTGTTTGAAATTTACGGGTTTCGGGGTTTAGGGGTACTGTAGAGCGTTTACAGGGTTCGGGTTTCGAAGCTTGGGTTTTACGCTTGTTCTTTGTCCTGGTCTCAACTTCCCTAAGACTCGAAGTCTACAACTATAGTGCCTGCATAACATTGGGGTCTGGAGTCTAAAACGTAAAAAAACATACCTACTCTGGGCTATGCATGCATCAGTTTGTAGTGGTTGACGCAGGCTTTGAGGTAGTTGTTCGTTGCCCGGTGAGTTTCCGGACTTTTATTTACGATGGAGAGTTTTCTTGGCCCTATCCGAAACTCGCGGATCTTGTTTTTCACCTTTTTCCCTAATTCTCAGGCTTGTTGGGGTGGGGTTTCCTTGCAAAGAAACATTATCAAGACATCCTCTCAGAATGGTGATCTCATGGAACTCCCACCCTAAACTCGAAACCCTAAGGCCCTAAACCGTGTGAGCGCCGAAAAGCCCCACCATCTACAGTCAACCGCTTCGCGCTCGCCCTGCCCTTCCCTACTACTGGCTTCTCGCTGTGCCGTATCCCCGGGTTTCCCAGGACCCCCGAGGTCTTCAAGCACCCTTTACTAGAGCCCTTTTGGCCCTTACTAGTGGGTCTTTATAGGGTATGTTACCCATAGGCCCCATAGTAGTTCCTTTTTGGGGTTACCTTATGGGATTCTAGAAATGAACCCCCAACAGGAACTACTTTAGGGCCTATGGGTAGAGGGTAGTTGGGAGGTCCAAGTCAGGTTTCGGGTCCAGGGTCTGGGCATCCGGCCCTAAACTAAACCCTCTACCTTACGCACGAAAAGAACCCTAAAAGTAGGGGCCCCATACCCTTATACTATGAATCCCTATATGGTATATGAACCCTAAACCCTTTTAGGGCTCTTATCGTCCTTTATAAGGTAGTGCCTCAACCATGCCGGCTCCAGCATTGGGGGGCTATAGTTCATGTCATGATCAGTTCCTGGACTTAGGCCCGAGGTCATGTCATGCACATTGTAAACACTTCGAGTCGTTTGGTTTAGGATTCCAGGAGCTGGAGTTTCTAACAGCCCCCTGCCCCACCACCAAGTATAAAGAACATGTAAAGAGACATCAACGGGAGCGAGTGGAGAACAGCTCTCCATTCACTGGCCTCCCTGTTTACGCGATGGCTTCATCTGCAGGGCAGATAGGCGTCAATGGACATGAAGCGAGCTCTGCACTTGCAGGAGCTCAGCCAGATGCATCGTCAGGCTCCATCGAGACTTAGGAGCCCAATAGCTAAACTTTAAGCTTTTTTGGTATATTAAATCCCTACTAAACGAAAAGTTTAAACTTTAGCTAAGGAGAAGAAGACCGACCTGGATGCAGCTGTGAGCAGCCTCACGAAGTCCTTGAAGATGCAGAGAGCACGAATGGCCACCACGCTCCATGAGCTGGGCTTGGTGTGCATGGAGAAGGGCGACCTGGATGCAGCTGCGAGCCACCTCACCGAGTCACTCAGCCTGATGAGAGCTGTCCATGGAAAGGGAGTTCACCGAGAAGTGGCTTTCACCCTCCATGACTTGGGCGTGGTGTTCAGGGCGAAGGGCGACTTGGATGCAGCTGCGAGCCACCTGACCGAGTCCTTGAGCATGAAGCGAGCAGTGTACGGACAGGGATCTCGCCGAGAAGTGGCTTTCACGCTCCATGAGCTGGGTGTGCTGTTCAGGGCGAAGGGCGACCTGGATGCATCTGCCATCCACCTCACCGAGTCCCTGACCATGATGCGAGAAGTGCATGGAGAGGGAGCTCACGGAACAGTGGCCATCACGCTCCATGAGCTGGGCATGGTGTACATGGAGACTGGCGACCTGGATGCAGCTGCGAGCCACCTCACCGAGTCCCTCAGCATGAAGAGAGCCGTGTACGGACAGGGAGCTCACCGTGAAGTGGCTACCACGCTCCACGAGCTCGGCGTGGTGTTCAGGGCGAAGGGCGACCTGGATGCAGCTGCAAGCCACCTCACCAAGTCTCTCAGCTTGATGAGAGAAGTGCCTGAAGAGGGAGCTCACGGAAAAGTGGCCATGACACTCCAAGAGCTGGGCATGGTGTACATGGAGAAGGGCGATCTGGACGCAGCTGCGAGCCATCTCACCGAGTCCCTCAGCATGAAAAGAGCAGTGTACGGACATGTCGCAAACCGAGAGGTGGCTTTGACGCTCCACAAGTTGGGCGTGGTGTGCAAGGAGAAGGGCGACCTGGATGCATCTGCGAGCCACCCCACCGAGTCCCTCAGCATCAAGAGATGAGAGAGGGAGCTGTCGGAGAATTTTCCGTCACACACCATGAGCTGGGCGTTGTGCATTCTGTGTACGCTTATCTGTTGGACTTGGATGCAGCTGCAAGCCATCCCACCGCATCCCTCAGCATGAAAAGAGCTGTACATGGAGAGTGATCTGACGGAACAGTGTCCGTCATGCTCCACGAAAAGAGCTGTGCACGGAATGGGAGTCTGCCGCGAAGTGGCCGTTGCGCTCCATGACCTGGGCATGGCGTACCAGGCCAGCTGCGAGCCATCTCGCAGAGCCCACCAAGATTCTGAGCGCAGTGCACCACTGACGGGGGAGCTTCACCACGCATTGACACCGATTTGTCGTAGACAGCCTCTTATCAATTATATGCCTCCTGACCACTGTATGTGGTGGATGTAGTTTCTTTAGTTAAGTTCTGCATGTGCCTTGCTGAATGATAAACCTATACCACTGATTCACATACCACTCAATGTTGCTGCTTGAGAGCCGCTTTCGATTTTCGAGGTATTATGAGGAGACTCCTCGGCTTGACACTGCAAGAACGTCTCACTGACCAGACGAATCACCGATGTGCCTGGTTGAGTTGCAGCCCCTGTGACAAGCAGTACAGAAACTGTTGAGGGTTTTGGGTTTAGGGCCACTTTCTGTTTAGGTCACGAGGACGTGACGGGTTGCAATTCCGGCGCCTCGTTTAGAAAGACTGTGGTGTCCATGTGCTGCTTGATCTGCAACACAACACTCAGAGCGCTTATTGCATCGAAAGCCCCTGTCGAGCCTATATAGGTTTTATGCACCTGCAATCATGTCACCCATGTTTGCTCTTGCCAAGGGTTGTTTCCTAAAGCTGCCCTTCTTGTTGTGGAGAATGGCTACCTAAACAGGAGGCTCGTTTGGAAACGTGCGTTTGGGACAATGTTAGACTGGCCTTCCAATCCTATGGAGTCTCTTCCCCTAGGAATATGAGTCTTCTAATCGTACAGACGCACGAACCGGCAAGCCAAGCAACGCCTCCTCCACAGACATTATCAGCCTAAGAGGTTGAGGGGGTTGGGGTTGGGGCCGCTCAGGGATTAGATTTGGGGTTTTAGGCTTTACGGTGGACCATCAGCAGAATTTCATCAGAAGGGAGCCTCCAAGTTTCGACTGTCAAGACGGCCGCAAAGTGCATTCGTATTTTTCATGTCAGCCTACACTTTACCCAAGGATTCCTTCAAGGATACCCTAAACCCTAAACCCTTCAAGCACATCAATTTGAGCCATAAACCTCCAAGCCCTGAACCCTGAAGCCCAAACATGCCCTTAACATCGAGCCCCTCAAAGGAACCCGTAAAGAAGCCCTTGATAAAGCCTTTACTAAACCCTAAGGGTCCATGTGCTCATATAGTATATACATTGGCCTTAATGTAGTCCCTATATAGGTACTTTAGGGCGCATGCATATGCTATATGAGCACATGTACCCTTAGGGAAAGCACTCCCTGAGAGAAGCCCCCTACAAAGGCACCGGTTCGGATGTAGCGCCCTGCGTGACCCTAGGGCCTGGAGGTCACTCGGAGCATTGCAGGGGGACGTTAAGGTGCTAAGCTTGTAAAACCCTAAACCCTAAAACCTAAGCCCTAAAACCTAAACCCTAAACCCTGAACCCTAAAACCTAAACCCTAAATCCTAAACCCTAAAACCTACACCCATGGCAGCTGCAGGCCAAGCCCCTTACGGACATGGTCTGCAGCGAATGTCCATGCGGCCGCTTTTGACTTAGCTCATGTTTCCTGTGTATACCCATAGGCCCCATAGTAGTTCCTATTTTTGTGGCTTATATTTTGGATCCTATTAGGTACTCCAAAAAAGAAACTACTGTGGGGTCTATCGGTACTTTATGTTGCAGTCTTTCTTGGCTATTCTTGAAGTTCATCGGGTTTAGGGGACTTACTTCCTTGTGATGCTTCCAGTCAGTATTTAGCATTGTGAACCCATGCCCATCGGGAAGGAGATTGTGCCAAACGTCGGTTCTTAAAGCTGCCTTGCGTTTCAGAATGGCAACCTAAACCCTAGGGCTCCAGTCACCTACATAATGGGTTACTGGGGTATATAATATCTGGCTAGTAACCTACGAGTTAGGTAACTGGAGCCCTAGGGTACGACAAAGCAGTTCTTTGCGCGACCCTAGACCATGCTAAGCCCCTGCAGGCCGTGTTCGTAAGCCCTCCGGCCTGCAATCTCAAGCCCTTCCTCCACAAATATCGTAAACCCCAAAAAACCCCCTAAACCTTCAACCCAGAACCCTAAACCCTAAACCCTATAAACCTTAACCCCAGAAGCCCTAGCCCCCATTGTCCACTAAGCCCTGAAAGCACGAACAGGCAACCCAAACCCATAAGATCAGCTCCAAAGAGTCTGCACGGTTTGGGGTGCAGGGGCTGGAAGGCTTCAGAACTCTTCAGGGGTTGGGGTTAGAGAGAGACAGAGAGAGACAGAGAGAGAGAGAGAGAGGGTTTAGGGTTTAGGGTTTGCAAGAGGCCTGGATGCAAAAAGGGTTTAGGGCTTGAGAGAAAGTGAGAGGTTTGAGGGTTTAGGGCTTGAGAGAGAGTGAGAGGGTTTAGGGTTTGGTGGTTTACGGTTTAGTGCAGAGAGAGAGAGGGGGTTTAGGGTTTAGTTTTAGGTTTAGAGTTTATCACTCTCCAAGAGAAGCTCGGAAGCTGGCTCATCGTTTGCTTGAATCCACAACAGACTACCTTTTTCTAGATCCCTTAACTGCCTTATTCCTTCGAATCTGGAAAAGTGGTTCATCAATGCCTTCTAATTTCAGCGTGCACCCTACCCCAGGACCCTTTAGATGATAGCTTAAGCCTGGAACTTTAACGCGTATCCTAAGCCCTGAATCCTAAGCCTCCAAACATCGAGCCCCTCAGGGGAACCCTTAAAGGACCCCCCAACAAAAAGAAGCTGAAAGGAAACGGTTCGGCTGCAGCGCCCTGCAGCTGGAAGTGAGACGCCAGGGTCTGGAGGTCACTCGGAGGAGCTCTGCACATGGGGCTTATAAGATGAAGAGCTTATCCTAAACCCCTCTTTCATATATATTATAAATGGTAATGCCCTTAGTGAGCAAGGTCATAAAGTTAGTGAGCAAGGTCGTTAGTGAGCAAGGCCATAAAGTTAGTGAGCAAGGTCGGTCCTAAACCGTATACGATCGCGAGCTCAAACCCATAAAGTTAGTGAGCAAGGTCATAAAGTTAATGAGCAACGTCATACAGTTAGTGAGCAAGGTCATAAAGTTAGTGAGCAAGGTCGGTCCTAAACACTATACGACCGGGAGCAAACCCATTAAGTCAGGGAGCAAGGTCATAAAGTTAGTGAGCAAAGGTCGGTCCTAAACCGTATACGATCGCGAGCCCAAACCCATAAAGTTAGTGAGCAAGGTCATAAAGTTAATGAGCAAGGTCATAAAGTTAGTGAGCAAGGTCATAAAGTTAGTGAGCAAGGTCGGTCCTAAACCCTATACGACCGGGAGGAAACCCAGGAGAGGCTTCCGTTTTGGGACCGGTTCGGGGCCAATAGACACGCACGAAGCTGCATATCACACTATTTAAAGGGCTTCCGTTTTGGGACCGCTTAGGGGCCAATGGACATGAGTTTGAAAAACTGCACAGATGGTATGAGAATCTATGAGCGGATGTTGTTTGTAGGAAAAAATACCGTAACTATAGAAAGTAAAACCAAAAAAGATTATGTTCAAATGTCGTGGGATTCTATGGGTGGGTGGGTTGATATCTAAATGATTCTTAACTAGAAACATCAAGTCAGAACTGCTGAACCCTAAACCCCTAAACCAAAACCCTAGACCCTAAACCCTAAGCGTTAAGGCGGTCACGGGTTGGGGTTGAGGGTCAGGGTGCTCAGCTTGTGAAACCTTATAAGGGTATACAGTAGGGCTTCGGGGTTTTATGCCTTTGGTTCATTGAAGGGTTGCTTTAAGAGCTCGATAAAGAATCTACTGTAGAAGGCTTCTGGGGGTGGTCGGGGTTTAGGGTTTATAGTGTTCAGGCGTTTTAGCTTGGGGTTTGGGGTTGGGGATTTTGGATGGATTTGGAATTTAGGGGTCCATGTACGCATGTTGCATATACTTGGGCCTTGCAGGGTGCTGTACGGTATACGGTTTAGGGTTTGGGGTTCTTTCCGGCCGAAGTACCCTAAACCCTAAACCCTAAACCCTAAACCCTAAACCCTAAACCCTAAACCCTAAACCCTAAACCCTAAACTAGACTGTACCATATGGGCTCATGTCTAAATCCTAGAAGCCAACTCTCGGCAAAGGTCCCTGACGAAGAGGTCCCTCTCCACGAATCACTCGTCACTAATTGAATTAGGGTTTAGGGTTCAGGGTTTAGGGTCTAGGGTTTAGGGTTTAAGGTTCTCACGAATCTCAAGTCATTATTTGGGGCATGTCTGCTCTAGCTTAGCTCTTTCTCTTCCTAAACCCTAAGCCCTTGAACCCAACAACGGGGGAACTCCGGGATGTACGCATGCGCTGCGCCGTACTTGATGACTTGGCTCCTCCAGTGGTAGAGCGGTCTTTGAACGAACTGTAGAGCCCTGGTCAATACGAATGACAGCAAAGTAATATTCAGGCTCCCTAACTCAGCGACGAACAAGCCTAAACCCCCAAACCCCACAACCCTAAACCCTAAACCCCTAAACCTGAAACCCCTTAAACCCTATAAACCCCGCCTCTTGCAGACCGTCAGCCCCACAGTAAGCTTTTGCCTCCACAGGTAGGGCCCTCGGAGTTCATCAGAGGTCGTTCGTTGTTTTAGGTTTCTGCAGGCGACCAAAAGGGTCGCCATCGCTCAGTTGCGAACTGGAGTTAAAACAGGGTAGGGTTTCGGGTTTAGGGTTTAGGGTTGAGGGTTAAATGAGAGAAAATCTGACAGAATTAAGCGCTTTAGGTTTCTTCATGTTGTACCTGCTTCAACAGCTTCTGATTGTCCTCGTGACCTGTAGAGGGGACCTGCAAGAGTAGAACAACCCCACACGAATCCAATTGAAGAATGGTTTAGGGTTTAGGCTCTCAGCTTCCAGCATGTCAATGCCCCAAGGTCTGGTAGAATTCAAACGTAAACATTGGTATTTCGGGCTTTTCGAATTATTCCGAGCCCTACATGGGTTTTGAAACAAGTGGTTGTGCTACACTTTTGTTGCCTGCCAAGGCTTGTGCCGGAGAACTCATTGGCGACTTTCTCCGACAAAATGCGAGTCTTTAAGCCTTAAGCCAAACCACTAAACCCTAAACCCTAAATATTCAAGTGCACTTCGCCTCGGATCTTGATTTTCGGTTGCAGCGAGGCAAAGATATGGCGTGGGGCCCAGAACCGCCTTACCTCACCCAGCCTTGAACCTAGCAACACTTATAGTATGGAAGCCTAAATATGTCCAAGAACTCCCAAAACTTGAAGCCCAACCATAAACCCGAAACCCCTAAACCCCCAAACCCCAACCCCTGAGCCCTAAGCCCTTAAGCCTTGTTCCGAAGCGAGCCTGAACGCTTCAACCTCCCAATCCTACCCCAATCCCTCAAGGGGTTCGACCCGAAAGTTTTGCAGGTTTAGGGTTTAGGGTTTTAATAGCCTTTTATATGTGTTGGGCCGTTCTGTTACCTACTTTGTGGGGCTCAGGCGTAAAGCCCCTACAGTAGACCTTAATCACTTAGCGAGGGGACAACCCCAACAAACCCCCAAATCTACAAGTATATAGATCCCCTAACCCCTAAAACCCCCTTAAACCCTTTAAAAACCCTGAAACCCCTAAAACCCACCCTAAAAACCCCTAATAAGACCCCCTAAAAACCCCTAAACCAAGCCTGCTCCGTCCGCGCGGCCGTGTCTTCGAAGCTTCAGAGCGCCTGTGCGCCCTTTTGGGCTTTCAGGAAGACGACTGAGGCCCGAGGCCCAGCGCCGGTCCGGTACGTTTAAGGTTTAGGGTTTAGGGTTTAGGGTTTAGGGTTTAGGGCTTAGGGTTTAGGGTTTAGGGTTTATAAGGGTTTAGGGTTCAGGTTCCCCAAACCCTACCCATAGGCCCTAAAGTAGTTCCTTTTGGGGTTCATATATCGAATCCTAGAAGGTAACCCCGAAAAGGAACTACTATGGGGCCTATGGGTAGGCATTGTAAGGGTTGTCGTAGTACGTTTTAGGGTTTGGGGCTTAAGCTTGATACTTGTGGCTCGGTTTCTTGTGTAGGTCCGGGAGGGAGGATTACCGTTTTTGCGGTTTGTGTGGGGGAGAGTTAATAAAGGAATACGCAGACCCGTTACATCATCCAAGAGATGGATACCTTGAAACATGCCCTATATCAGCTCAGATAATGATAGGATACGCTTTAGGGTTTCCATTGAGGGGTCTGGGTAGGTACTTGTCTGGAGCTTCCCTTACGTCTTAGGTCGGGTTTGGGGTTGAATGGGCGTTGAGGTCATTGAAGACTCTAGGACCGGGATTTAGAGTTTAGGGTTTAGGGGGGCTCAGGGATGAGGGAGTTTGGGGTGCTGATGTGTTTGGATTTTAGTGTCGAGGGCGTAGGGGTTGCGGGTTCCCCTGAACCGAAACTTTGGAAACCCTCAACTAAACCCTAAACCCTCAACTTTGGAACCTTATACTAAACCCTGATTCTACTTCATGGCGCGGTGTCTTGAGCTCAGCAGGTTGGGGTATTATAAAGCTGAAGGTGCATGTGCTGATTCATGGGCCAAAATGCCACGAGTCTTCGGTGTATGAAGAGATGCCCTATCAGCCCAGATGCCCACGTAATATTTTGCTGGGTTTAGGGCTTTGTGGCTTTAGGTCTTTAGGTTTAGTTGGGAATATAGGTTTAGATCGGTTTATGTGGAACGGGACTTCGAGCGACGGGGAGGAGGCTACGGCAATCTCGATCGAACAGGAGAAGGGATCTCAAGACTCTCCTGCGTTGTCTCGCAGAACTCGGCGACAATCAACCTCGATCCCTTTTTGCCGACATTTCTATGCTCGGATTTAACATGTAGCCGTGTTGGTTCATGAGCCTTTACAAAAAGAGCATGTCGGGTTTGGTTGGTTAGGTATACCTCACGTTTTTACGACTCCTAAACAACCGAAGCCAAACCCTCCAAGCCCAAAGCTCTGACACGTATCCCCCTTTAGGGTTTTGGGGTTTAGGGTTTAAGGTTTAGGGAAGCTCATACTCCAGGCCCAGATGAATCAAACTCCGCCGCCGCATCCTGGCTTTTCGGGCTCAGGGTGTAAGGTTTGGGAATTCTGGGGTTTAGGGTTAAGGCTTTCGGCTCCTGGGTTCTGAGGGCTTATAAGGTTGTAGGGTTTAGGGGGCTTTGGGTTTCGGGCTTAAAAGGTATAGGTTTTAGGGTGTAGGGTTTAGGGGGCTTAGGCTTTATAGGGGCTTCTCCGCACACTCCAGGTCAAGTTGCAGATCCCTGCGCAAGCCCATGAAGTCCCAGGTTATCTAAATTCCCCGGTTATGAAGGGTGCCAAGTACCCAATAATCATATACTCTCCCACACAGTGACCTATATTAACTACTATCCGAACCCTAAACCCTAAACCCTAAACCCTAAACCCTAAACCTAAGTATCATATTCTTGGGTCCTTGGGATCCCTACCTTTTTTAAGGACTTCTATAAGGAAGTCATGCTATAAGGAGCCCTAAACAGGTGGGTTCTTCAGGGTCCAGGTACCCATAGGCCCCATAGTAGTTCCTTTTTGGGGCTACTTTATAGGGTTCTATATATGAACCCCAAAAGGAACTACTTCAGGGCCTATGGGTAAACCCTATGAACCGCCGCCCCAAGTCGAGGAACGTCGTGGTGGCCCAGCCAGCGGCCACTTCGGACAATAGTTCGCCTTCCGTGGCGGCGACGGTGGGATGTGCGGCATTTCGGCTAGAATGCAAACCCAAAGGGTCTAAGTACCCATATAGTAGATATTTTTGGCCCCAAAGTACTTAAACCCTTTGGGCAAAGGGCTTTGGGAACTGGACTTTTGGTCGAGCAATCCAAGAAAATACCTTCAGAATAGGCTTCGTAGCGAGTATTGCAATCAGGAGAAGATGTGTAAGCAGAAATGCAAGCCTGATTTCATGACGCAGCTTCTGCACTTCGCATAGCAACCCCGGAAGTTGCAGCCGTAGCCCCAACATCGTGCATAAGCAACACGAAGCTGCCTCGGCCTTGCGTGCAACCCCAGCTCAATTCATCTAGCTACGTATAGCGTCTTATGCGCATGTCTATGTTTACCTACGTTTATTGCAATTCGGTGGTTGCTGCTATGTCTTTTCGTTTACAAGGCTCAATACATGCATTCATGATTTTGAAAATATGGTGCATATAATAATATACGCATTTTTTTAATCCGCACATGAATAATGTGCATGTGTTTGCTGTGTATGCCCTGCTGGGGTGCAGTGGCAAGCAGCGGCAAGAGAGTGAGTGAGCCCAGGCGCGTGCCTGTGCAACAGCGTGACCAATCCCACCCACCCACGGCGCCGGCCCCCACCCAAAGTCGCGTTCCAACACTCCTACCCCATGTAGGCAAGAGATATCCCGGGTCCGTTCATCGCCCCTACACCTGGACCTGCAACAAACCCTTGCGAGCCCCTCCTATCCGCACTATAGCAAAGCATCCACGGACACGGCGACATCACTGCTCATATACACCTATACATGCAAATGCACGTGTCATACTAAGTACAGATTGTCCGTAATAGTGGCAACATCCCGGGGCCCTGCCGGTGTTGATCCGGGTCGGAACCCCTAAACCCTAAACCCTAAACCCAAGAGTTTGGTATGAGAGGCAGCATTACAAAACATGTACGACCAGCTTTGTAACATGCGTGCAATATGCGGACAATGCCGACTCCAAAGACTGCGGAGCTTCACCATGCAAACGCCTGCAGATGTCCCGGGGCTGAGGCGGTTTAGGGTTTAGGGTTTAGGGTCTAGGGTTTACTAATTCTTTGCGTTGTGGAAGTCAGTGTTCAGGCGATTGCACAAGTCCTGATGCAAAAAGGGTCTAGGGTTTAGGGTTTAGGAACCCTAATTTCTAAACCCACAGTGAACACGAACGAGCCCGCCAATAGTTAGGGAAGGAATATAAGTTCAGGTCAGCACAATAGAGCATGTTCTGAACACCGTGACAAAGGTGGGGGAAGGGCGGTCGTGCAGTTCGGGTTCATGGTTCGGGTGTGACCAGTGGTTGATGGAATGCCCAAACAGCCGATATGAATAAAGCCATTAAGCAAAAGATGCTGCATCCAATGTAGATATATTTTTGTGGATTTAGGACATCGGTACACACGTAAACTTTTGAGTTTTTTAAACACAAGCTTAAATACATGGCAGAACCAATACAAATCCCAAACCCTGGATCCTAAAGCCTAAACTCTAAATCCTAGAATCCCAAACCCTGAATCCTAAACCCTAAATCCTAGAATCCCAAACCCTGAATCCTAAACCCTAAACCCTAAATCCTAGAATCCCAAACCCTAAACCCTAAATCCTAGAATCCCAAATCCTGCACCCTAAATCCTAGAGTCTGTAAGGTCTTGGGATTGATGGTCCTGGGCCCGGTCGGTGCTGTCATCGGTGGGACTCTGGGGGCGGCGGCGACGTCACTCGACAGGGGATGCCTTCTCTTGGGTTTAGGGTTTGGGCTTAGGGTTTAGGGTTTAGGTTTTTTGGTTTTGGGTTTGGGGTTTAGGTCTTGGGTTTGGGGTTTAGGGTTATAGTGTTAATGGTTTAGGTCTGGGGTTTAGGTATTAAATTAAGACCCCGCTGTAGTATGTCAATCTGTTGTGGTTTTTGTGGACGGCCCTGCTGCAAAAGGCTTTAGGGTGCGTATAGGTTGTGCTTCTCAAGGTTCTAAACCCTAAACCCTAAACCCTAAAACCTTTTTGTAGCTAGGGAACCTTCGTGGTGCTGCTTAGAAGCCATACGAACACATAGTAAGGCAGCCAGAACGAGGCTTCTACAGCAGCCTCGGTGTCCCCAGTTACGGCGGTATAAGGTTTAGGGAAGTTGATGGCTCAGGGGCTAATTTGGATATATATATATATATAAGCTTTAGGGTTTAGAGTTTTGATGTGTATATATATATATATGTTTAAACAGTTTAAACGGTGACAAACTGACGCTTCTAGGGTTTTGTGATTTTAGGGTTAACCTCATGGACCCATTTAGGTTCAGTCAGATAGGTATCTAGTGTCGAGTAGCAAACTGTCGAAACTGCTTCCAAGTATACATTAAACCTCGAGCGCATTTCGCTGTACCCTGTGTCCTGGACAACAGGGAATCAAGACGTGCCCGCTTTGGATTATCAGAACCTTATCCCTACACTCTAAACCTTAAACCCTACATATAAACCTCTAAACCTTAAACCCTACAAAAAAAAACTCTAACCTTAAGCCCTACATATAAACCTCTAAAGCTTAAACCCTACATATAAATCTCCCAAACCTTAAACCCTACATATAAAACTCTAAAGCTTAAACCCTACATATCAACCTCAACCCAACAGGGTTTAGGGTTGTCTTTTATTGATTCAGGATTGAGGCCCATGTGGTTAAGTCGAGTTGAAGAAAGTTGGGCCTTGAAGGGGTCCCTATATCAGCACTTTAAGGCCGAAGTGTGTACTATATGGGTACAGGAGCCTTAGGGTGTTGCTTCCGCATGTAATGTGGCCGCTCAAATTGGACGTTGAATGCTTTCAGGATTTCAATATAAACTGAAGTGGAGATAAGACATCGTGTTCTTGCTCGGAGTATAGGAGTTTTAGACGTAAGCTGCGTTGGAAGCAGTGTAGCCGCTGTCGAGACACTCATGACCCTATCTATAGGCTATGAGGAAAGTCCCCTGATCTTGCAAGCGGCTCATCCCATACTGGAAGCCCCAAACTACACTTTAACCCTACGGTGCCCGAAAGCCTAGATCCTAGACCTGAAAGTGCTGAACCTCAACTTTTTAGGGTTTAGGGTTTAGAGGTTTAGGGTATAGGGTTTTTTATTGCTTGAAACCCTGCATGCTGCCAGGATGGGAGGATCTAGCCAGCGGCAGCCGTCCCTGGGAGTCTCCCGGATCAGTCTTCCTCGGGAGGCCACCTCAATTACGGTTCCGAGGATTGTGCTGGGTTTAGGGTTTAGGGTTTAGGGTGGGATATTGGGGTAATTATACGATTTGGGGCTTGGGCAATTGAGGGCTTGGGTGTTCGTCGTAACTTACCATGATCTTTTTCCAAGCCCAAGTACCTAATTGGGTATTTTTGATCCTTAGGGATGAGGTTGACATCTTAAACAGATCAAACTACTTATGTCTCCCAGGATTTGGAATGACTCCTAAATCCTCCTCGGGCCTGAGCCCTACACCCTAAACCCGGGGATGTATCCCAGGTTTAGAACTCCCACTCAATCATCCTTGGTGTGTGTTAGCCTGCAGCTTCGATCTTAAACCCTAAACCCAAAAAAAACCCTGAAAACCCTAAAACGAAAACCCTAAACCCGAAACCTGAAAACCCGAAAGCCCTAAACCCTCACGAACTCGGAGCCTATGGGACTTCAACCCTGCAAAATACGGATAATAAAGTCAAATCCCGGGAAAGGGTTTCCTCAGAAGAGTTTGATTTCTCTTACTTGGCTGCATGACTTAATTAGGTTCTATGCACAGGAGTCTAGCTAGACGCTAGCAAAATCCAAGTGGGCCGACATGGGTCTACAGCTTGCTTTTTGCTCTGCTTTTCTGATGGTTTTCCTTTCGTACAGTCTCACGCCGGCGTCCCACACTCAGGTTTTCCGCCTCGCATCATCGTAGGACTGACGAATGATGACCCGATTCGGGCCACCATCTCGAAGAGATGAAGACTAAGTCCCACACTTTCCCCTGCTTAACCCTTAAACCCTTGAATATTGGATCTGATAGCCCGAGCCGTACTAGATCCGAGCCCTCACTGGGTTTAGGGTTTCGGGGGTCGGTGGCCGAATTCCATGGCCCTGTTCGGCTCTCGGGCTGCTGTTACCTAAGTCCGAAGTAGTCGGTAATGAACCATACAGTATTTAGAGTTTAGGGTTTAGGGTTCAGGGTTGAGTACTCCCGAAACCTTGTATTTTGAAACTGGAGCCCTAGCGAGCAACAGGCTATATGCGAGCAGAATGGCGTTACCTACTTCGCGGTGGATGTCACGCACATGACGCGCGGCACCTGGCGCGTCTTGCGCCGATACCGGAATTTCGACCAGCTGAGATACGAAGTGTCTCGCCATCTACTTGATGTCTCCTGGAAACCATGGGCATAATTAAGTTGTTCATGGGTGGAACAGAAACCGTAAGCTGAACCACCTCCACCAAAGCCTGAGCAGCCGACTCTAAACCTGTACACTTTCCGGAGGTATATCATCGATCCCTAAACCCTATAAACCCTAAACCCACCCTAAACCCTAAACCCTAAACCCTAAACCCTAAACCCTAAACCCATAGATCCTCCGCGGGCTTGGGAACCTGAACACGTAAGGCTTTTTCCCTAAGCGCCAAGCCGCAACACCTCCGACAAATCCTAAACCCGAAACCGCTACATTAGGGTTTAGGGTTTAGGGTTTAGGATTTAGGGTTTAGGGTTTAGGGTTTAGGGTTACCCTCTGGAATTCTCGAGCCCACGATCGCGTGATTAAGGAACACACTTTAAACCATCCTTATAGAGTTCACGTCATGTTTGAGGTTTATGTTCCAAGAGTCCAAGTAGCAGTATAGCATATACTTTGGGGGGGGGGGGGGGGGGG